GCTATAATCCCCACGAAATCCTTGACGGTGGTACCGGGAGGGGAACGGTACATGACGGTAGGAAGTTTAGTTTGGGTTAAAGTCTCACACTGACGGGGTTAGGTTTTCGATGCTTCCTCCTCGTAAAATAAACATGCTCAGTAAAAAGTTAACAAAATAATTTTTTTTCTCACTTCAAAACAAAAAAGTTGCTTTATCGAAAATGAGTTTACGTAAGCGTGGCTGGAACTCGGAAGAAAAAACGAAGATGGCGAAACTATTTCAAACGAGCGCCAAGAGACCATTTCTCGTGCAATAGCACGTTTAATTGCAACAAATATGTTACCCATTTCTCTTTTTGCAACGCCTGGATTCCATGAGTCTATGAAGGTGATGGATGCACTTTGAATTTTGCATATTTTGCTATAAGTCACGTATTCATCTCCATCATAATTCATGCGGTACCACACCATTTTTGGTACTATAAATATTCAAAACCTATCAACCGCAAAACTTATGAAATATTGAAATAAAACAACTTTTCGAATAGTCGAATCTGTCAAGTAATCGAATGAAAACAACTAGTCGATTATGAACGGTTAGTCGAAAGTGAACGGTTAATCGATTAATGGTATTCGATTCATTTTTGAAACAACTTTTTCTATTCGATTAACCAATTAATTGGTTAGTAGATTAACAAGAGCTCTAATATTTACCTCTACTGGTTACAATAATTTTAAGCTATAATAAATAATTTTTTAGTAAGTAAGTTATTGGTTTTAAATTTTTTTTTTATTGAGTTTGGTGCTTGATGCTTTTTTGGTGCTTTTGTTTTTAGTTTGAAGACACCAAATTTTTAAATCTTAAAAAAAAAATAAAGCAATCGTAAGTGTTGCTAGCAACTTTACAATCATAAGCGAGAACAAAATATGTGGCAGCACCTTCAATCATGCCAGAAGAAATCGACCGTCGTGCAAGAAATATTCATTTTTATTAATTTTATTTTTAATATTTTTATTGAGCTTTGTACCACGATTGTTTATTAGGAAAAATTGAAAAAGCAACAAAGTCTAAGCGGTAGAAGTTATAGCACTATTTCGGAGATCACCACATCTCCTCATCAGACTTCTTTTTTCTAGACTTCAGCAGGGATCGAACCTGCGAATTCGATGTTCAAAGTCAGAAGCGTTAACCACTGAGCTATGTACATCCCGTAAACTCTAATTAATTTTAATCGACATCCTTACAATAAAATTGTTTATGCATATAAAGTCACTCATCCGTTGTGCTGATCGGACGTGCTTTTATCTCCGCTCTCGGTTTTGCTTACTTAAAATTCAAAACTCGTGGATAGTTATTCGATTTGTACTTATGTACTTCGGTCGTATTTCTTGGACACTTATTTATTTATTCATATATCTACAATGCCTTGTAGCTGTGGTCAAAGGGTTGACCGTAGTCAACCTAAAAAAGTTCAATGTGCAAAGTGCAGTGAAATTTTTCACTTAGTCTGTGGTAATCTGGTTCCAGCTGACCTTGAATTTCTGCAAAAGTCAAATAAACAATTCATATGCAAGCAATGCACAACCGATCGTAGAAAGTCTTTACTCTCACCAACCCGTGTGAGTGCTCAATGTAAAGATGCAGTTGCTGTTGGTGGTGCCTCGGCAAATTCGGAAACTTCGGCCAATAAAACTAACTCGTCAGAACAAAAAAGTGCTAATCAAGAAATTACTCTACAAACTATTTTGAATGAGCTTATCGCTCTTAAAGCTGAAAACTCTTCTGCGCTCTCTTTGATAAAGACTCTGCAAAATGATAAACAACTTCTTCTCAAAAAAGTTGATTCTCTTCAGCTTGAAGTTCAGGATGTGAGTAGGCAATTGTGTGATTTTGATATGGCTGCTATCATTGCAGATGTGAAGTCTGCTGTCATAGACTTTCGTAAGAATGTGCGTGTATTTGCAAATAATGTTCAAGTGAACGCTACCTCTGCCCATGCAAATCCTACTCAAGAGAATACCACTCATATTGCTCCGCTGATCACGCCTTCTATTAACACAACGCTACCTGCTTCCTCTCTGTCTTCTTTGTCTCCCTCGTCTGCTGCTACCAATTATCCCACTCCTACTCCACCGCCTGTGAAAGACAAAAATGTACCTAAGCTGCCTAATATACATAATTCGGCTACATCGCATATCTCTAACTCTTCGCCATCTTCGTATGCTTCTGCTGCTGCTAACGCTCCCATTCCTACTTACCCAACTGCTAGTGACAAAAATGCAAACAAGCAGTCCAACACACAAACTTCGTCTACATCGCAAATCTCAGCTGGCGAGTTAAACAACGCAAAGAGGAATGAAAAAGCAGCTGCGAACGACAAAAACGTAAACAAGCAGCCTAACACACAAACTTCGGCTACATCGCCTATCTCCAACTCGTCTTTGTCATCTTCATATGCTGCGGCTAATGCTCCTATTCCTACTCACCAAACTGCTAATGACAAAAATGCAAACAGGCAGTCCAACACACAATCTTCGGCTACATCGCTAAACTCTGCTGGCAAGTTAAACAGCGCAAAGAAGAACGAAAAAGCACCATTGATTGTTGTTGGTTTGAATGCTAGCAAAGAGCTTGATGTAACATTTCTACTGAAGTGGCTGCACTTGTCTTCGTTTTCTAATTCGGTCAAAGCGGAAAACATAATTGATTATGTAGCTAAACATGCAGACATTAAACCCAGCATGCTTTCGTGCTCTCCCCTAGTTAAAAAGGATGTTTCTATAAATACTCTAAAGAGTGTAAACTTTAAACTGGGCGTATCTAACTTGCACTACGAAAAGCTCTTAAATCCGGGCTTATGGCCTGCGAATGTTGCTGTGCGCCCTTTTAAATTTATGCCAAAAAACGACGACTCTCAGACAAAAACCCAAAGTTCGATAATGCAAACCACAAGCACTTAAAAATCTATTTTCATAATGTCTCTGGTCTTAGGACAAAATCTAAATCTCTTCATCTCATGAGTTCGCTGTTAGATTACGATATCTTCGTTATCATAGAAACGTGGCTAAACGATAACTTCTTCAGTCATGAGTTCTTCGATCCAAACTTGTTTGAAGTATTCCGCAAGGACAGAGATGCAGTCAAAACTGGATGTGCTAGAGGTGGTGGTGTCCTTATTGCGATCCAGAGGAAACATAAGGCGTTTTTCTACGAGCTAAGCAACAATAATTCGCTGCTGGGCCAACTCTGCGTGTGTGTACAAAGCCCTCGGGAATCGCTCTTCATCTGCGCTTCATACATTCCGCCGAATAGCTCAGATGAGCTGTATAAGGCGCATGTAGATAATATTTTGTCTCTAAATGCAAATTGTGCACCAGATAACCATCTTGCTGTCTTAGGGGACTTTAACTTAAACAACGTTATGTGGTCTAATATAGTTAAGACCTCTGGCCTTTTACCAAGCTGCGTGAATAGTAGTAGCGAGATATATTTAATTGAATAATGAATATTTTAATGATTTAACATTGATATTAGGCAAATAAATTACTTTCACAATAAGCTTCAGAGGTTTTTGGACCTAATATTTATTAGCACTAATGTTAACTTTCAGTTGTCCGAGTGTAATTTTCCTTTCAAGGAGCCTGATATGTATCATGTTCCGTTGGTATTAGATATTTATTTTTACTCATACCTCAGCTTAGACGATAAAAACACAAAAGCATCTTTTAACTATAATGTATGTAATTTTTCTAATCTAAATAGTATATTTCTCAATATAGACTGGGACAGGTTATTATGTAATCTTAGTGTGGCATCATGTTTTAATATCTTTAAATCTAAAGTAGTTGAAGTTTGTCAAAATAACATTCCAATCTTTGGTAAAAAGCTATACAAAGTTCCATGGCATACTCGAAATCTTGAAAGAATAAAAAATTTAAGAAACAAATACCACCGCAAATTCAAAAAGACGAGCAATTATTCGTTTTTTATTGAGTATAAAAAGTATGCCAAATATTTTAACTGCCTTGATAAATTTTTATATAGAAACTACGTTTTAAACTATGAAGCCAATATCAAGTCGAATCCTAAAGCTTTCTGGCGATTTATAACTTCGAAGAAATCTTGCTCTAGTATTCCCTCTCAACTATTTCTGGACGGGAAATCTGCTACCTCCCCCATTGAGGCTGCGAATCTGTTTGCCGATTTTTTTCGCTCAAACTTCATTTTAGATAACGACTCTAGTGGAAGCCTTTCCAATACTAAGGAATGGCCCTTTAGCTTTGGATCCCTAACCTTGACCACAACCGACGTTCTTAATGGCATTTCGCAGCTTAAACCCTCGAGCCAAACTGACATTGACGGGCTATCCGCAGTTCTATTAAAAAAAGGCGATTCTCTTATTTATCCATTAAAATTAATTTTCAATAACTCGCTATCCGCAGGGGTATTTGTCGAAGATTGGAAAATAGCTTTTATCACCCCTATCTTCAAAATTGGTAATAAAAATGATGTTCATAATTATAGACCCATTTCCAAACTTTCAACTATTTCGAAACTATTCGAATGCATAGTGAATGAAAAGGTGTCTTTTGCAGTTAAAAGCCTTATTTGTCAGAACCAGCATGGGTTTATGCCTAACCGCTCGACGGTCTCTAATCTCGCTGTCTTCGCAGAAGATTGCATTTCTGGCTTCAAAGACGGGTTTCAGAAAATTTGGTGCTTTTTCAAATTCAAAACTTGGCAATACTGCCTTCTGTTCGATTCTTCCTCTTTTTCTTGTTTTCTTGTCTTCGTCTTGCTCTCTCATTCTGATATTTGTTGACGTCACACCCGGTTGCTCTCTGCTCGATTGGCGCAATCTTGTATTCTATCATTCTTGGGTATGCATCACGATGCAGAAAATGAAGGTGGCGCCATTCGCGGACCGGAACCCTCTCTTCGTCGATTTGACAGCATCCACCCATTCCCTGACATCACACAATACCAAATTTAGTGGGTATTCAAAACGCAAAAATTTTTGAGTTTGGTGCTTGGTGCGTTTTTGGTGCTTTTGTTCTTAGTTTTTAAGGCGCCAAATTTGCAAATCTTAAAAAAATGGAAGCAAAATTTATGGCAATCGTAGGAGTGGTAAGCAAATTTACAGAAATTTAAACGAAATCATGGCGCAGTAATAATCATAAGCGACAACAAAATATGTGGCAGCACTTTCAATCATGCCAGAAGAAATCGACCGTCGTGCAAAAAACATTAGTGGGATTCATAAAACGTCGCAAAGTTGTTGCAAATGTCGCGTTTGTTGCAAAATTGTCCACCTTGCGACACAGCTGATTACTCTTGTATGGAAACTTTCTTGCGACAAAATTGCGACATTGCCATCTTATTTGCGCTGGCAATCATTGCAAAGTCAGAGTCGCAAAACACATGTTTTTTTATTGTCCTCGAATACTTCAAGAAAAAGGCTATCAGTTGAGGCTGCTTCGAAATATAATTGTAAAAACATTTCTTTTCCTCTAAAGCGCGGCATTTTTAAAAAATGTTGCATTTGCAATCCGAAGTTGCGATAGGTCTTTCATACAACTTTGTTCGCAACATTGCCATTTTGACGAAAATTCCACTTTGCGACGTTTTATGAATCGCACTACTGATTTTTATTATTAATTTGAATCGGTATCCTTACAATAAAATTATGTATGCATATAAAGTCCATTAAATACATCAATAAAAAAATTTGGTGCTGTTTCAAATTTAAAATTTGGCAATGCTGCCTTTTATTCGATGCTTTCTCTTTTTCTTGTCGAGTTCGTCTTGCTCTCTCATTCTGGTATTTGTTGACATCACACCCGGTTGCTCTCTGCCCGATTGGCGCAATCTTGTATTCCATCATTCTTGGGTATGCATACTATAGATTTTGATATTTAGGAGATTCCCTTAAATTAATAAACTCGTAAAGTCTTAAGCTGTGTAAAACTCGTAAGTTTACGAGGCTTTTATGGGAACGCCCACTTTATGAAAATGTAAATAATTGCGTAAAGTGACTGCTTGACAGGTCAGCCAGGATTTTGTGAAGCAATTTCTGTTTCGTAGTATTTTCCATAACATTCCGCCATCTTATCTCTAGCACTCTTGGCTAAAATACAATTAAAAATGCCGAAAATTAGCATAAGTCAATACAGTTAGTGGATGAAATTCATTCATTTTATTCGCTTATTACTTTTATTTTTTTATGTATGTTACCGCATAACTTTTGACCACGTTAACCGATTTCTCTAATTTTGTTTTTAAGGCGTTACCTCACAGGTCGTCCCATACTAATTTGGTTTAAATCCGATCATTGGACCTTGAAGAAATTAACGATAACCTTAAATTTTTATATGAGAATTGAAGTCGGCTTTGTTTTTTGCTTAAAAATTACATATTCTCATTTATTTTCATTATTTTATCATGCATTTTAGTATAAAACTTTCGGCCCTTTAACTCAATTTTGTAGCTATTTACAGAGTTCAAAAAAAAATTATTCCACTTGAGCTAATAAACGCTATTATTGGTTAATTAATCCACCATTTTAGAATTACAAAATATATTAAAGTATTTTTTGTTTTGAATGTAATCCTAATATGTTCCCAATATTTGGTTTTATCGAAAACATTTGCACTTTCTGTACAACGTGTGGCACTTGATAAATGCTTTCGTGTTTGAATCTGGGCTCTTTTTGTATTAGAACTAGATCGTATCATATATGTAAATCCTTGTTAGGGACTTTGTTAATTAATTAATTCTTTGGCTATTTCATGTGTTTTTTGCATACGGTATTTCACCTCTTTCGCATAGTTTTCAATGTAATATAACGGGTCAATCTTTTCTTGGAGGATGGTTCCGTGTGCACATGTGGAAAACTTTTGACTGCCATTCACCTGGGAGTGGCCATAAGTGATTCTTGTGCGTACAGTTTAAATCACAGCTCACAATGTCCGGATATTTATATCCACGTATCCTCAGGGTAACGATCAAATACGTTTGGGAACGAATTTAAGTGATGAGGCGTAAAATTTCGCGTGCGCAGAGTTTGGGCCGCCTAACTTTAAAACACCGCCCAATGAAAAAGAAAAACATGCCTCGGATGAGACCCTCTCTTTCGATGACGACCCACGCAAATGTATAAAGAACTACGATTTGAGGGCACGCACCTGGAATAACCGGGCCCTTAATGGGGAAGGTGCCTCTGCCCGGCTGGTTGATGTCCTCGGGAAGACTAAGGCTGACATCATCGCAATCCAAGAAACGTGATGGACGTACATATGAGCGCTGCCCCCAACGTGATATCAAAATTGTGCTAAGCGATTTTAAAGCCAAGGTGGGCAAGGAAGGGATCTTTGGCATCATTGTCGAAAAATTTAGCCTACATGACGAAACATCCGATAACGGACTGAGGCTGATCGACATCGTTGGGGCCCGAAACATGATAATATGTAGTACTAAGTTCCAGCATAAGAAGATCCACCAAGCTACATGGCTGACCATGTTGTGATAGAATGAAGGCATGCATCCAGCGCTTTGGACGAACGTACACTTCGAGGGCCAAACATCGACTCGGACCACTACATATCTTTCTGTAGCCAAGATACGCACGCACCTCTGTGGAGCAAAAAGTCTGTAACCAACAATGCAAAGAAAGCTCAACGTCGAAAACCTGCAATAACAACAGACGGCCAATTTATTCGGCACTCGACTCACATACCTGCATTCTGAGAGCACTGTTCAACAATCCGAAATATGCGAGCAGTGGAACCACATTTCCCGATCATTAAGTGCAGAATGAGTAGTTGGATTTCAGCGAGCCCGAAGGAACAATGGAATGTCCAGAAGACGCAGAGAAAAAAGACGCCGCGCAGCCCGAGCCATGTGGGACCGTTATAGGGAACTGGAGAAGGAAGCGAGACGTATTTGCCGCAATAAGAAGAGAGGGGCTAAAATACGTGCAAACTCCTGTAAGAACAACAATGTATTTATTTTATATTTAACTCAAATGTTTTCTATTGCATATTTAGTATTATTAAAAAAGATAGAAAATATAGTATTTATTGTATCTGAAAGCTTTTACTTTTAATAACATTTACTGAAAAATGCATTTAATTAATACTCAAAAAATTTTGCGGAAGATTTACGGGCCTTTACACGTTGGCGACGACGAGCACCGCAGACGATGGAACGATGAGCTGTATGAGCTTTACAACGACATGGACATAATGCAGCGAATTAAAATACAGCGTCTCTGCTGGCTTGGCCAGGTCGTTCGAATGGACACCGACGCTTCAGCTCTGAAAGTATTCAACTCGGGACCCGCTGGTGGTAGCAGAGGAAGAGGGAGGCCCCCACTGCGATGGAAAGATCAGGTGTAAAAAGACTTGGCTTCACTTGGCGTTTCCAATTGGCGTCAGTTGGCACAGAAGAGAAACGACGTGCTTTGCTGAACTCGGCCAAAATCGCTTACAGCGCCAAATAAGAAGAAGAACTTCCAGCTCAAATAAAAAATTATGAAAACGTTGGTACATTCAAAAGGCTGCTACTTGATCACTGCAGAACATTGGCTATTAGATAGAAAGGTCCAGCATGGCAACAAGTCCTTTCCATCCGTACTAGCAGCGTGACTCTGAATCTCGTTCATTCAGGTCGCAAATAATGTGTGAAATAGAAAGATCGGCATGGCAACTAGTCCTTTCCCTCCGATCAAATAGCGCGACTCTGGATCTCGTTCATTCAGATCGCCTGCCCATGGAGCAGTCTATAAGAGGCGGATTTCCTTTCCAACCGCCCAGTTGTGGCGGCTCTGGAAATTACGCTCTAGACAGCATGCCCCACACGTGATATATTTACGGTACTGCTTGGAATCAAAGTGGAGTCGAGAATTTTTAATAACATGGCACCGCCTACTTATGATCACATATATGTATCTCGGTAACCGTTCCATCAATTTGTACCAAACTCAGTATGGATATTGTGCTTAACACATACAAGCAAAACGTTTAAAATTATTGAAATCCTAATAAAATCATAGAAACTTTTCATATAGTGGTAAATTTCAGAAATGCTGCAAACTTCGATATTTCGAAATTTAAGGATGCTAATTTACTCAAAATTGATACTAACAACAATCCCTGCAAAAGATGTAACATTATATGGAATTTTGGAAAATAGGCGTGATACCGCCCACATATGCCTATATAAGTTTATCTCATTATGTCTAAGTGAACGTTCTATCGAAGATGTTTAAAATGGGGGTAAGACCACCCCTGCTCACCATATAGCGGTAGTTTTCGGAAAGGTGATAGACATATATTTAATACTTGCGCCGGGTATTTAATGTTCGGCTCCGCCCGAACTTAGACTTTCTTACTTGTTTTCTAATATATTTATAATAATATAATACCTCAGTCAAGCTTCCGCAATTTTGGACAAGTTGTCTAGAAGCTTGGTTTGTTCATACAGAAATGCAATATAACAATGAAAACCATAACACAAGATACTACAAAATATGAACACACAATCACAGCGCTTCCGCAAGAAGTCATAGTTACGATATTAGATATTATTCAAAATCCACCGCATAACAACAAATTTGCAGAATTAAAGAAAGTCTTAAATGAAAGACACCATGGTACAATAAACGACTGAAACACACACTTTAAGTGATAATATAAAATTAGATAAAATTTTTTCATATTCAGAAATCGGTGATCGTCAGCCTTCTGAATTTTATCGATCGCTCATGCTACTTTCTGCTTCGAATTATAGTCAGTGGCTAAATGAGTTCAGCCGTTCCCCCGTTTTCGACCGTGAATGGCTCCGTGGAATAGCAGCAACCCTGCCTAATCGCCACTCACCACGGCCCGTTCCACTCACGTACACATAATACACGTACACACACACATATACACATGAATTGTACTTACCCATACACACACATGAATTACAACATAACATGAAACAAAACACAATTTGTCGATCGTCGAGCCGAATAGAAGTGTTCTCCCCGCCAATTATATTTTAATAAACCCCCCTTCAACGTTAACAAAAAGATTGTTCCATACTTTTTTTGTAGTGCCCTTCTGGTGGAAAAGTGGTGAGTGTGCCCCCTAAAAGTGTTGCCCTGGTGTAAGGGTAACGATGGTCCTTCTGCGCCAAACAGACAGGCACCTTTGAAAGTTTAAATTGCTAAAAAACAGGGTGTAAGCAGTGAAAAAAACACACTTAAGCAAATACATACATAAATATATACAAAAATAAGGGCAAAAGTGAACAAAAAGCAGCAAAGTCATAAATAATTTACTAAAATAAAACGGGCGCGGCGTGCAAATTTCACACTTAACACAAAACCAAAAATTTCGGGCACGAAAAAACCAAAAAAATTTATCACCAACAAGTGAGGAAGAGCATTGGGCAAATCAGCTACATAAAGGAAACGAGGGCGCAATGTCAACGAGGGAGGAGGACAGTATACGGAGCACAGGCACTCCAGAGGACAACATAGTTCAAACTCAACAACACCAACTAAACCCCAAAGCCCTTGAACACATCAAAGTTAGTTGTATCGTTCCACTTATTTACAAAAGTATCCTAAATCAAGCCAAAAAAGCGAACTGAGCCCGATTTAATAAAAAATATTTTTTCTTGATTAACGGCGCTAGTTAATTTACAGCTGCCAGGAAAAATATAACCGCTTGGTTATGTGCTTAAGTTTCGTGTAATAAAACACAAACAATTATACCTACCGCAAAACATACATATATTCAAGTGGACACTTGCCAATATTTCCAGCAATACCCCTTCTGTTTGTATAACAAACAGCAAGCAGGATTGCATAAAAAAGTAAGCCACAAAGCAAAATCATAGTTAATAAGAATTGGCGGCAAAACAACTAATAACGTATGTACACATAAACATAATACATACGTCATAATATTATTCCCCAATTATCTAATACAATACAGGCTTTATGTTGTTTATCGGTTCATATACATATAACATATATATGTACATACTCCCGTTATTTGAACCCAAAAATAATATTGAAAACAAAACATACTCACATATCTATTTACAAGCGGATTATTAGCAAGCAAACTGCATTGCTCAGTTACCGCTCTCACATCATTTGCATGCAATAACATATACGTATACATACAAATATACGTATATACATGCCTACCCTGCAAAAAATGGGACTAATCCGGGAGCAATCGCAAAGGAGCATGCGACTAATACCACTTTTGATCTCTTTATATGGAATTAACTGTACGCTTTTGTTCGAGCATGTCCTATGAAGAGACTAATTGTTCACCTTTATACCCGAACGGGTATGAAAAGCGACTAGTCACTTTTAAAAAATAAAAATAAAAATTTGCACCAGCTGTGATTCGAACCGGGTTGCTCAGTTTGGTTAGGCGAATACTCTCTCTGTGTGCCAACTCCGCACATGAAATTTCATTGACTAAGTGCGAACATATCGTTAAATCGTTAATAGTACCCGTTAGAGATGAGTTGGGGACTAATTGATCTCCAATTATACCCATAAGGGATGAGTCGAGCCTAATTGTCCTCCAATAGTACCCGTATGAGACTAGTTGGGACTAATTAATGCCCAATTGTACCCGATTGAGAGTAATTTCGGAACACTCGCTTCAGAGATCAGTCGCACAATTTTTTGCAGGGTATGTACTAACGCAAAACTGCATACAAAAAAGTTATAAAAAGTGCGGGTACGAAAAATCGCGGCATATATACAATTTTTTAACAAATTTGATACATTATCTGATACAAAGAAAATCAGAGCAATAGATTTTCAAATATATTATACATCCTAATAGGGGATTGTTAAATAAACATCCAAAGGAATTATTATTATTAACATTTACATTGTTAAAAAGGCGCGGTAAAAAACATAATAGTGCGGTTCTTTATATTAATTAAATTAATTTGATCGGGTACACAGCTCACTAGCTGTAATTCGTATACCCAGAAAAAAAGGGACAAAATAAAAACCAAATTTTTTGTCTTTACAAAACATCCATAATAAAAGAGCGGTTATATTAAGTAATAAGGCGATACGTAACCTGACTAATTTAATCGGAGGTTACTCATTTATTTGCTTATGGCAGTATACACGGAGAAAAACCGGAAAAAGCTAAAAAAAAAAAATAAATAAATAAATAAATAATACATAAGCACGTAAAAAATAAAACACGAAAGAGAGTATTGCGGATACATTGTGTTACTATAAAGAAAGGTATGTCAAAATCCGATCGATACGGGCACTCATATTATTTCATCATTCGCGGGTATTAAAATACATGGAACAAAAACAATTTTATAAATTCTCGAGTTCACATTTAAATGCAAATGAACAAGTCTCCCATCAAAGAACTGAAAACACCTCAATTGCTAGATATACCGAAAATGGTTGACGAAGATAAGCATCAAAGCACCCCTGAAGAAGCTAAACGCTCAAAACATGGTACGAAGCAAAAAAAGACCAAAGACTTTTCGGCCGCAAAATTTATTGCGGAAAGTGACAGTCTAATAAGATACCGCACTAGGTTTTCCGCAGCCCCTATCGAAGACAATTCAGTCTTGATAATTTTAGGACACGTCTCCAATCGGCTTATGACGCCATAGTTGACACTGAGGATTCAGATTTACCCGAAAATTTTAAATCCTCGGCTTACGCCAAATATGAAAATTGCTTAGACCAATACGAAGAAACAAAGGCTATGATTTCCGATCAACTAAAATTAATAANTTACATAATCGAAGTTTGAACAGAACTCAATCGTTCATCGCAGAACAAAACAAACGTATGTCATGCGAATTTTGTAAAGGAGGTCACGCATTAAGATCTTGCGAGAAATTTAAAAAACTTACAACAACCGAACGATATAATGTCGTTAGAAATAATAGACTTTGCACAAATTGCTTCTCACACTCACATGCAAAAAAGTGAAAGTAAATTCAATTGTGTATACTGCCAAAAGAGGCATCACTCGATGCTCCACATTAATAATTTTACACCCCAAAATAGCTCGCAAACTCGCAAAGAGCCACAGGGCTAGTTGCAACAGCTAGACCCGAACACCCCGAAAATCTCGAAAACGAAACCGAGAACCATGCTGTCGGAAAACAGCAAATATACAAGCGCTTCATTCCGAAAATGAAAGCAAAATTTACTGCCAACCGCGATTGTCTCGATTGAACATCGAGGAGAATTATTCAAGCTTAGAGCTCTAATCGATCAAGGCTCACAAATATCGTTTATCTCATCAAAAGTACAGAACCGGCTAAAACTCCCAACCACAAACTCAAACTTTGAAATTTATAATATAATAATATAAAACTCTAATAAAATCTGCTCATTAGCCCTTATTTCCCCCAATGCGGATATAAGAATAGAGGCACACGCCATACTTCTGCCGCAACTTACAAATATGCTTCCAAGCTATAAAGTAAATGGCAAAGACAGCCAAAAATTTGCCCACCTAAAATTAGCGGATCCCAACTGCCACACCCCCGCGCAAGTTGATATCCTATTAGGCAGCGACCTAATCCCCCAAATAATGCTAGAAGGCATTGAGAAAATTTTAAATACCCTGTTAGCCCAAAATACCATCTTTGGATGGATATTTAGCGGCCAAATAAAAGAAAAAATATCGGTATTCACAACTCAAGTTGAAGATATTTCAAACGAATACCTCAATTCTCAATTAAGAAGATTTTGGGAGTTAGAAGAACTCCCCCCATGCAAGTCATTACCCCAGAAGATAAGTATTGTGAAGACTATTACAAAGCCACAACTACAAGATCAAAAAACGGCCGCTACGTCGTACGGCTACCATTCAAGCCACAATTTCCCGACACACTCGCCTTAGGCCACTCTCGAACCTCAGCACTTCAGCAACTTTTAAGTATGGAAAAAACCTGCTTAGAAAAGGCGAGCTAATGACCTAGTATGACAATGTACTCGAGGAATACCTCCAATTAAATCATATGGAAGTAGTCAAGTCATATGAAAAAATTACAAAAGGTAAATATACTTCATTTTACCTCCCACACCATGCAGTAATAAAGCCAGAAAAACTTACAACAAAAGTAAGAGTTGTATTCAATGCCTCGAAATGCACAAGCTCAGGCAATTCATTAAATGACGTATTAGATACGGGACCCACAATACAACCTGATTTAATGCTCCTAACACTAAGTAGGCGCATGTTTAAATACGTTTTCAATGGGGATGTCGAAAAAATGTACAGACAAATCCTTGTACATTAAAACGACCAAGATTTTTGTTTAATAATAACAATATCCCAACGGTTTTTACCCTCCATTCCCGCCCATCGGCACGAGGGGCGCAGTCCGCATGACGTACGGAACCAATATTTTAAATTTTTGCACCGAGTCACGATAGGCAGGAGTTTGTTAAGTGTCGAGATCTAAAACTGTTCAGCTACAGAACTAAATTCATCAGCTGATTTTATGTATTTATGTCAATAATTCACTTATTGAGAGAGGAGAGTATCGCTTTCTTAATGCTGAAAAGCGGATCTGATATATCAAACGTGCTGGAATGAGAGTTAAAATCCTGGCATAAGCAACGGAGTGGGTCGTGCAATTCAAAATTGGTTTTACAAGCTTTCAGAAATATGGGACAAAAGTGTCCCAGCGCATGATATTTCGCAATTCACCTAGTAGTCCAACACGCGACTACAAATTAAAAACGGTGACATTTGGCGTAAATTGCGCCCCCTTTCTTGCCATTAGAATACTTCACGAATTGGCAAACGATATAAAAGAAAAACTGCCTCTAGCAACCCNCAGCGCATGATATTTCGCAATTCACCTAGTAGTCCAACACGCGACTACAAATTAAAAACGGTGACATTTGGCGTAAATTGCGCCCCCTTTCTTGCCATTAGAATACTTCACGAATTGGCAAACGATATAAAAGAAAAACTGCCTCTAGCAACCCCGGTGTTAAAAACATAAACTTTTGTGGAAGATATCCTGTCGGGAAGCCACAGCTTACCCCAAGCATGTGAATCACTATCTCAAGTGATCCAAGCCCTCAACTGCGGAGGGTTCCCCTTGAAAAAGATAACGGCCAACCACCCCGAAATATTAAAGAATATAAATAAAGACCACATATTAGACACAAACTTCCTCATCTTTGAAAAAGAAAGTACCACCAAAACTCTGGGAATACGATGGAATGCGATATCAGATCAATTCTCATATACTCTTGAGTCAATATCCGCAAAAACCAAAAGGCAAATCCTGTCGTCTGTGGCAAAACTTTTTGACCCCGCAGGATGGCTTGCACCAATTATAATCCAAGCAAAGATACTCATTCGAGAATTGTGGCTAGACGGAACAGATTGGGATGAACAAGTTAAACCATTACGCTTGATAAAATGGTCCCAATTTGCCAACAATCTGAACACTATTTCGGAAATACAAATCCCTCGATGGGTAAACTACTGTCCCGTACATCAAGCCGAACTGCACGGCTTCTGCGACGCCTCTGAAAAGGCATACTGCGCTACTATATACGTGCGCACCCAACAAGATGGCAAAACTACAAGCCACTTGCTAGTCGCGAAAGGCAAAGTGGCTCCGCTAAAGACTGTAAGACTACCACGGCTTGAGCTATGCGGGGCGCTCCTTGCTAAACTAGCCTCCACTGTTCAAACCCACTTAAGCCTGAACAATCGCAAATACCTATGGACTGACTCTGAAATAGTCCTAGCTTAGTTAGAAAAACCACCCCATACGTGGAAGACATATGTGTCAAACCGCACAGCCCAAATAACTGACTTAGTTGGGCCAGCAACTTGGCGACATGTAGCCAGTGCTGATAACCCCGCCGATCTTGGCACAAGAGGTTGCAAACCCCTGCACCTCGCCACCACCTCACTCTGGTGGAACGGCCCCAGCTGGCTAACAGAATCACCAGAATTCTGGCCACAATCCCCCAGACGCAACATAAGAAGACATATGTGTCAAACCGCACAGCCCAAATAACTGACTTAGTTGGGCCAGCAACTTGGCGATATGTAGCCAGTGCTGATAACCCCGCCGATCTTGGCACAAGAGGTTGCAAACCCCTGCACCTCGCCACCACCTCACTCTGGTGGAACGGCCCCAGCTGGCTAACCAGAATTCTGGCCACAATCCCCCAGACGCAACATAATACCCCCCGAAAGTCGAAAAATTGAAAACTTTCATGCCGTATTGGATGATACTGACATCCTTGAGCGATTTTCGTCGTTCCCCCGAGGCCTCAGAGTAATAGCTTATATGTTTCAGTTCATAAATCGTCTCAAAAACAAAGTGAAACGAGCGCCTAACCCCCCGCACACCAAGACCTGCAACGGGCTAAAATCGCTCTGATTATGGCTACTCAGACCCGCTTTTATGACCGGGAAATAGCACTTTTGATGGTATCGCAGCCAATAGATAAAAAGAGCCCACTCTTAGTTCTTAATCCCTTCCTAGATCCGAAGGGACAGCTACGCACCAATGGACGTCTGGCAAACTCCAGTTTGAGTTATAGCGAGCGGCACCCAATAATAATACCCGAAAAATCCCCATTTGCCACACTGTACATAAATTATTCGCACTTGTTGATGCTACACGCCGAACATCGGCTTATGCAGCAAATGATCCGACAAGAGCTTTATATCCCACGACTAAAGCCTCAGATTAAGAAATGTATTTTTCTGTGTACAGTATGCACTTTACATAAGCAGAAAATGCGCACGCAGATCATGGCAGCTCTACCACCTGAACGCTGCAATTTCTCTTTGCCCTTTACCATCACGGGTGTTGACTTTGCGGGTCCTTTCCAGATAAAGGCCTCTATGTTAAGGTCTTCCACCTTTACGAAGGGCTATGTGGCCGTTTTTGTATGTTTTTCGACAAAAGCGGTACACC